CCGCCGGGAATGGGACTAGGACACAAAATTGCTTCAGTGTTCTTGATAAAGTTACAATAATTTATACAATGTAATTATCATCTTTGAATGTCAGTTGCTTTTGCTAGAATGTACTTACTTTTCACCAAGGAAATGAGGCTTATGTTGTCCAGGTCGCTGTCATCGAGGGCCATGAAGTTACTGGGGGGAAGAGCAAAGGGAAAAGGGATGCAAATTCTAGGAAATCAGGCTTCATTCGCTGATAAACTCTTCCTGGCATAAAAGCTCAGGAGCTGGAAAGAGCTGCAGTGTTGTGTTACACAGGTGTGAAATCTTGGTGTCACACTGGGGCATAGGAGCTAAGGAGCATCTGACTCTTGTCATCCGAGACTTGACAGCTTTGGAGGTAGGACATGAACAATCTGAGAAATGAGTAAAATACAGAGGGGAACAAGGCTTTCTAATAGTCTCACTGGAAATTGGTGGCAGAGATGGGAGTTTGCAACCCAAATTTTGGGAGTGCACTAAAATCATTGTAAATCATTTCAGTGACTTCAGTGACTCTTCTAAATTGACTTGGTTTCACAAGTTCCTGTTAACTAACAAGAAATAGCACTCCCCAAACTCTGCGACCCCAAAGTCTCAGTATGTAATATGCCAGCATGTAAGCAATCAAGAAGTGTTTTGTCTATACGCTATGTCTAATAATCTATAGTTGCAAACTAACAATAAGTATTTTTAAAAGTAATTGTAACTGCCATAATTTTAATCTTTAACATATTTGTGTTGGACAGTATTCCATTGATGCATTACAACATACAGGCACTGGGAGAATATGCAAAAAATTCTAAAGATTGGAATGGTATTTATATAGTTCCTCTTCCCTTTTATCTGTTTATCATACTAAGACCTAACTACTTTAAACAAATGATCAGTAAACAAATATTTGACAAAGAATTGTTGAAAGTACGAAAATCAGAGTAATGGCTCATAATTTTTTTGAATGCCTCTGTTTAGCTGAATTGCCAACATGGTATTTAGATAAAATTTTGCAGATGCGTAATTTTTGTTGTATTTGTTAAAATAAGCAACATGGAAGCAATGGTTTTACTGCCTTTAAATTACAATCTTAAATTTCTTTTATTTAGACAAATGAATCTATTCATTTTTTGACACTAGAGTAAATTAATTTGAGGTTTGCTTTAACAACATGTTAGCATACAGGAACATGTTGCCTTTAGATAGAATTGCCAGTTTTTAAAAGAAAATGTGTCACAAATGTAAATTTTTCTGCAGGATAATGGATCTCCTGAAGAACATGCAATTTATGTGTGGGACCATTTTATTTCCCAGTCAGCAGCAGAGAACGTGTTTTTTGTTGCTCACAGTTACGGCGGACTTGCATTCGTAGAGTTGGTAAGTGTGACTTCTCCATTGCCTTTCCTTCCTAAAGACTTTCACAGATTTTCAAAATTCTTTGTGATCACCTTCTTCAAAGCAGCAATTTAGGAACAATTTTGACCAGTGGTCACATATAGCTGTGTGAGGGTTTCTTTACACTGTATTTTTCCTCTCTTACTGAATTAGATGATAAGGTTCTAAGCGTCCACTAACCTGAAAAAATGTGGGGAAACAAAGCTCGTTAGATCCTCTTATTTTAGACTATTCACTTAAAGGTAGTACTCACTACTCTGTGCTTAGAGAGACTGGAGGTTAAGACTGAGAACAATAAGGATAATTTTAATGCTAGCTCATCATTAATAAATGCAAATTCTGGTATGTATATTGGAATTGAGCGTGAGGGGAAATTTGGGGAAAAGCAGTTTTTCAATAGAGATCTGCAGAAGTTCCTGGAAATACCTTTTTTCCGATTTAGTAGGCTCTGGTCAGCTGTAAAACTATGCTATCTGTGGGTGTGTGACTGCTGAAGATAATGTTAGTCAGCCTTTCTGCCTGTTCTCTAGAAGGCAAATTTGTTCACCCTGTCTGGAAAAGGAAGAAGTTGCCTGTTAAATTTATGCAGCTTGTATAGAAGAGCACAGCTATAGTCTTCTCCTTTAATTGTAAAAAGCTGGTGTAATCAGGACATGCTTTATTGAAAAAACTTTTAAAAGCTCTATTTCTTGTGAAAATGTATATTTAGGAAGTAACAACGTTGGTTTTATAGACACAGGAATCAGCAGACATCTATCTACAACTTTTGTCTATAAATTACTAGTTTAGACTAACAAGCTGTAAAAGTGGTTACTACTAAAGAGTGAGAGCAATGCCTAGGAATGAGCATTTTGTTTCTGTTGCTGTGCTGCTTAGACAAGAAAAATCCAGACCTGCGCAGCATTGTGGTGTTTTAAGATTTTAAGAGTTTTTTTTAATGATTTTATTTGGTAGATGTTAAGGCCATTCTGATTTTGCCTGTGCTTCCTGTGTACAGATTTTGAAAACTGAGAATGGCTTAGCTGATCATTTTGCTCAGAAAAATTGACCTGGTCAATAAATAGTCTCCACACTAAATTATTAAGAGACCAAACTTGTGAAGATGAATAACTTTGTATAAGCACAACTTCAGGCAACAAACAGCTTAATAAACTGATTGCATTACATTAAACTGTTGTTCCTTGGATGCACTGAAGTATGGGAAATACCTATTCTGTTTTCTCCTCTTTCACAAGCTATGACTTTCAACTGCTGTACGTTTCAACCAAAGTTATTTTGGAGTGCCTTATCTTTTGAAACTGAAAGGTTAGCAAGATTTTTGTAGGTTTTGTAAAGCCGTTTTGCTGGGGACGCAGGACACCTGCAAATACATACACTTAACATACGAAGGCAGGAAGTACAAAATGCCTCGAGACCTTTCTCACTTTTTCCTAAACAAAGTGCTCATTTGAAAGAGGTTTGGAGAGTGAGTGCATAGAGTTTTTCCATCGCGTTTCAGTCAATGGCTTGAGATGGCATGGGTAACAGATGACCAACGTGTCATTCCCATTTTGCCTGTTTCTCTTGTCACACTGGTGGATATTTCTTCACTTTTGTTCTACTTTAATATGAAGCACACAGATGTTTCAGAACAAGACTTGACTTTCTGACCTTGGGGCTTCTAGGGTCAGGGTGCTCAGGGCCTGTGAAATTATCACAAGCTGAGCTAAAGTTTTTATCCATCACAGGAAGTAACCAGTAAGTAAGAAGTTAAAAAGGAGCTTTGTCAGAGAGACAAGATGGTCTCAGTAAGGGTCAGCTTCTGTAGTCTGCCATCTCTGCAGGAGATGCATGCATGAGAGGAAGAATATAATATGTAACCATTGGCACATCACATATCTGTCATGCAAAACGAGACCTGAGAAATATATTTAATGTATCCAGATTGTTTTAAAAAAAAATCAAAGGATATTATTAACACCTGTTTTTGGTAGAGGTAGTTTGATATCTGAGTTCCACTAAAAACAGTTAATAAAATAAGGTTTACGCTGAAGCAGAGGTAAGATACAATTGAAATGCATATTGAACTATTTTATCTAGATATTAATTTCTGAGATTTTATTTTGTTATAATCTTTCTCTTCGACTCTGTATCCATATGGCAGTTAGCAATTGCAAAGAGCTTGAAAAAATAAATATAGCAGCTGATGGGCAATTACTGTCTTACAACAAATACATATTCAATCACTTTCTCTCATGTTTTATGTGGGGGAGATCTTGAGGTTGATATAGCAACTATACCACCCCTACACTTGCTACACAAGAATTTTGGGTCAACTGATTCATAAAAATATGCGTTACAGTAGTTGCAGAGACCCCTTGCACAGCTGTTCATTCTGAATCCATTCCTCTTAGAGGAGTAGTGTGAAGCATATGGCTTTAATTTGGAGTGAAGGGTTCTGTCTGAGCCCTTCGCGTTTGATTGTGCCCGCAGGAAAAAAAAGAAAAAAAAGGCAGAGAAGTCAAAAAACATTTGAGTTTTCAACAAATATCTTTTAAATTGTCTTTATGTGTTCACTGCTGCTGGATCTGTCCCGATCGTTTGCAGCCACCTAATCATCAGACATCTCTAGTTCATCGCTACTTCGTGGCGCAAAGCACTCTCAAAATAACTGACGCTTTAGTGTTAGGCAGAGAAACCTGAAATTAAACAATGGCTAGTTCATGGTGGTTAGTAGGATCTCGGGCAAGGAGCACTGCAGAGCTGCTGTCCCTGGAGTAGTAATGGGAAGCTTTTAGCCTTACAAAAGCAGAATATGTCCAGGTGCTCCTTTGCACTTGTTTACGGAACTGGCACAGAAAAAGCAGCTCTGCTCTGCCTCTTCTCTTTCCTCTGCTCTTCAGGTTTCCACATCCTGTGCTGGGATGTGGGCATACGTTTCAGTAGCAAACTCAAAGTGGTAAGGCAGTAGTTTTAACCACACCTTGTGAAGTTGGAGGAGCTTTTTTGCTTCGTCCTAACAGATCGTTGGAGGCCAAACCTCCAATTAGTTTTGAATTTTGGCTCAGCCGGGAAACTAAAAGGATCAGGCTGTGGTTTGGAAAATCTTTATTAGCAAACCACTTAAACTTGGCTACCGTTTTCAAATATGTGCCACAGCATCTAACATTTCTATTGGTGTTTGCAGCTTTTGTGTCTGATGGCATTTTTGCATATCTTTGGCTGTGAGATATTAAGAAAAACAGGGTGAGTCTGTAACATCATGCCTGAATGCACAGAAGCTGTTATGCAGTTACTGCAATGTAGGCACACAATTTCTGTACCTTACGGGGTCATAGATTACTAGGGAAATAATTGAAAGTGATTGAACGTGTGTGGGAAGTAAAGTTCCACCAATAAATGTAATTAGTTATATTGTTTGTAGCTTGAATTACAAATGCTTATCATAAACCTTATGCTAAAATGTATCTTAACCTTTAGCAATTAAAACTTTGTGTAACTGTAGTTTGAAATTAAATGCACAGCTAATAATGTCTAAAAGTAAATTACTTTTTAGACACACAGCACTAAAAATAGTTGTTGGGTCACTGTGTTCTGCTAATTACTGATTTTGAAAAACTCAAAACATGATTCATGAACACATCTCAGCTTCTTACTTCTGTTATCCCTTACAGAGGGGTTGGGGATTTATTTTCAGAAGCAGCTTGCGGTAGTTGATGGTAAATTGTGGAACTTTCCCAACTCCTAGCTTATAATAATTTTATGAAATTTAACAGAAAGTGAGAATTTCGAGTTGATAGAGTCAATTTTATATTTAGTTTACAGAAAATAAGTTTCTGGTACAACGCCTCCTTTGAGTTTTTCTGCCAAATTTTGTGGGTTTACAATTATTTTGCTTTAAAAAGAATGTTTTCCCTTGTGAGCGCCTGCATGAAAAATACCCTCGCGGAAGAAGGGAAAAGAATATATTGGGTCCAAATGCCTACCTGAGTCGCATGGGCCATCCACTGCAAATCTAGTTACAGCATGAGGGTGTGCTTGCCTTTAGAGGAGGAAAAGGAAGCTTAGTCCTACGTTACCGGGTGACATTTAAAACTGTTCAGGTCCATCTTTATAAAAAACAGATGACAACTACTCATTTTGAAATCATGAGAAGAATTATTAAATCTAAGCTTTCAAAATTGTAAATTAGGTGTTCAGAATCATGAGATTAAAAAAAGACAGATTTTGTGAAATATTTTTCCTATCTGCCTCGCATATTTCTGAGTCCCCGGGCTTTGCATTTTCAAGAGTTTTCTCGCCCCTAATGAACAAGAAACATTGTAAGAATCAGTAGTGGTGTCTCCAGCTTACAGCTTTCACTTTAAAAATACAAAGTGCACAGGGGATGTAATATAATTAAATCAGGAGAAGAAAAGTAGGTTCATTGTCCTTGAGTGGATGAAAAACTATTCATTATAGTCTTTATTGGCTAAAATGTTGGCTGTGTATATAGATAATTTGCACAAAGGTATAGAAAAAAGTGTATGTGTGTATATATATAGCCAGCTTTGTTAAAACAAGTGTCCTTAAAACACACCGTGCAAATTATTGTACCCACTGTAGCAACCTAGTTCCATCAAAATCAGCCATTTTTGTCCATTTGAAATCATTCTCGATCCATCATTTTGAGAGATGCTCTGTAATACACTGCCACTTTGTTTTGTTGTATTGTGCTGAGCAGAGCAAGGACCTGACCCCGGCAAGAGCTTACAGGTGCCTTAGTAATAACAGTGATAAACAGACAGCGACTGAACTTCCTGGGAGTCTCTGTGGCTGTATCAGTATTCTGGCTTAGACAAAATGCAGTTTTAGAGCTTCGATGGTTGTGCTGTGAACCTGTCATTGGCTTTTCATTAATTTAATTTTCTGAAATTTCAGATTGAATGGTTTGTTATAGTTACTTTTATAGTTAGAAATTAAAAAATTGGCTCTAGAAGTGATAGGCAAATAGAGGATACTGT